CCGGGACGGGGCATCCCGGGATGGAGCACACCGGGACGGGGCATCCCGGGATGGAGCACGCCGGGACGGAGCATCACGGCGTGGAGGATCCCACCAGCACCGCGGGCAGGCCGTAAATGCGGCCCTGGCCGGTGACGCCGCCTGTCCCTGCCCCGGGCACAGCGCACAGCGCACGGCGGTGGCGGGGCCATCCCGATGCCGTGGCGAGAGCAGGCGGGCACGGCACAGCACGGCCATGGCGCGGGCTGGATCGGGGCGGGCTCTGAGGCTGCCTCACCCACGGAGGCGGCCAGGCCCCCATCTCTCTCAGCGCTGCCGGGAGCCGCCCGGGCACCCCTCGGGATGCTGTCACCCGCACACCGGCAGTGACCGAGCTCCTGATCCGTGGGTGGAGCCCCTGTGCAGTGCTGAGCTCAGCTGAGATGCTCAGACAGAAGCTCAGCAGGTACAACCCGCCCCCCATCACCCAGCGGCATCCAAATGTCACTCGAGTACAACTTCACCTGTCCAAGAATTTAGCCTTGCTGCTGACTGGTTCTTCATGGTCATACACCATTGCACGTTAGTGCTCCACTGATGAAGGGCCTTCTTTCAGTGACATCTTAAATATTTTAGTGCTGCCTTTTGGGGATTTATCACATGTATTTGTGATTACAAAGGCCAGGCTTGGTTGATAAAAGGTTAGGTAGTGCTTGATAGGTCGTAGGAATGCACTATGATACAAAGGTGGTAGTAGCACATCAGAAACAAGTTAGAGATAACTTTGACTCACTTGACTCTTCAAAGGTTTGAAGAGTTGATCAGACATTCATATGTACCCAATCTTTCAAATCTATTTAGAAATACAGTGTTAGTAAAAAACATACAAGTATGCTTGGACAAGGCAAGAAATTCTTTCCTCCCCAACATGCTTACAATTCACATCTCCATATCCATACATGTCCAGTAAGTCTCAGTATTATTACCTGCCCTGTGCCCATGGGAAAACAGACACAGAGAAAGAAACACCATTAGACAGTATTACTAAAAAGCCTGGAGATTTCAGTAGAAATTCTTGCATGTTGTATGTATTTTATTCTGTTTTATTATTTTTAGCTGACTTGGTATCTCAGATTGCTTTATGAAAATCCATTTTCTTAATGTTTTTGGAGACAATTTATAATCTCATTTCTATTCTCTTGCCTTTCTGAACTTGGTTTAATCTCAAATGGCTATTCAGTTTTAAAAAGCACCTAAAATAATGCCATTTCAAGTTCCAGTAGTATAGAGTTTTCAAACTAGTTGCATCTTTCCTCTTCAGTATGTGCTTGCCAGACATATTCTTTACATCCATTCAGCAAATACAATACAGATTTATTCTTTCCTATCACAGGTGTCTCACTACAAAAATCATGCAGTCCATTGAAATGTCAGTACCTGTAGCTCAGCATGTCTTTCTTGCAAAGTCCCTCAAGAAAGGTATTTGTGTATCTGCAGTGGACACTCTGATGTCAGTTTTCAAGTGCTGATTTCCTTGGCTCAAAATTTTCCCTTCGGAGGAGCTTCAATTCTCTCAGTTCTTGTGGGTGTAAACTCTGGTCAACGCCAGGTGTTAGCTTGTAATTTAAAGGAGATTCAATATAACCATTTCTGTAGAGACAAACCCGCTTGCAGAATTCAAAGGTGCTAAACATAACACCGAAGTATGGCACAATCTGATAAAAAAGCAATATAAGAAAAAAAATTAGACTCAAAACATCCATAGCATAGATGTTTTAAAAAAAGGGAACTTCTAGGACTTCAGATCTGATCTAATAATAGACCTTGTCCTCATTTATATAAAATCAGAGTCTCATCTCAAGCTATACTGGCAGCTGCAGTGTGCTAACAGTAGGAGTTTATTGTTGTTACATAACTAATTATAGCAATATTGTGAGGAAGAAGGTCTGTGCTACCCTATAGATTACCAGAACTTGTCAAATACCCAAGCACATCCTAAGCAATCTCAGCAAATCCTGGCAGGAAATGTGGAATTTATTCTACACACACTGGAGTGACTCCACAATTTTCTTCTCTTGCCCCATGCAGAACCAGCAGCTCCAGGGCCACTGGCTTCGTATCAGCCAAGGCAAGGCAGTCACAGGCAGGCCATGACAATCAAACCTACTGTCACTCAATTAGCACTCATTAGCTGACCTATAGTGCTCTCTGTAGGTAATCCTCATCACAGCACTGTAAAATGTATTTATGTAAATTAAATTACCTTCTGTTTAAGCTACCATGCTTTATTTCATGTCTTCAACTCAGCAAATCTGCAGTAACTGAAGCACATGTATTAAATAGCTGGCTGAAAGCACTGCTTTTGGACTTCTGGGCAAGTGGCTTATACAAGCACACTTCTTTTACAGCTCACTACAACATATCAAATCACTGAAGCTCAGGTGAGAAAGAGAACTTGTTTAGCTGTCCTAAGTGGATTGCTTGCAACCCCTCATCCATTCCACACCTTGTGTGTTAGGAGCACCCCCTTCAAAGATGTTGAAATGAACTTTCAAGTGGTGACATCTAGAAACCAAGCTTGCATTTGGAGAAATACAACCAAACCAAGTTCCAAGGCTGCTTTATAACCTGTTTTGTCACTGATTCTGTCATCTATAAGCTACTAAGTACAAAAGTATGTCATAAGCTTTCTATCCCCAACTGCCCAAAACTGTCTTGATTCCTTCAGGATAGTGTTTGACTGGGATGAAAGCAACACCTCACCTTGAGCAGACTGGGTGTGAGTCCACTCCAAAGCCCAAGCACACCTTTGTTCTTCACAGTTTGCCGGAAGCAGTCAGTCATGCCAGTAAAATGGACATCAACTCCTCCATAGTGGGGAAGCCAAGGACTCTGAGCCTGTCAAGAGACACCCAGAGGGATTTAGAACAACAATTATTTTCTCCATCCTTGTATATAAGGAACAGTCAACACCAGGTTTCAACAGACAGATCTGGATTCCTCCCAGTTTTGCATTAAAATATAAATTAAAAAGGGAAAGAACTCACTCTTTGATAGGTATGAAAGTGAACAGTAATTTCACACAGTGCCTCCTTTTGCACCATGCCACTACTAGAAATAAATCCCACTCTTTGAGGACAAACCACCTGAACCAGAGCCACACATCCCATCAGCCCCATGCCAACTGCTCAGGTCCAGGTAGAGCTATTTCACACTCCTGGCACTGGAACACTATGAGAGGGAAGGTTGGAGCCACACTGCCTTCCTGTACCCCTGATCAAACCAGCTGACTTGTCTCTGGCTGCTGAGGCTGTGCCTGCACTGCTGTGAGAAGCATGAACTGCACTACAGGCTGAGGAGCAGCAGCACAGCAGAAATGGAAGGATGGAGATTTCAGCCCAGGCTGTTCAGGCCCACCAAGGGCTGCAGGTGAGCAGTTGGTGCCCATGCTCCCATATCAATGTGCTCAGCTGATAGGGACTAGTTAAAGTTACCTGGGGAGAATCCTGCTGGCTGGCAGCTGAACTTCTAACTGCAATACAGTGTCTGTTCACATGGAAGAAGTGTAGTTGGTCATTTTTAACAGCTAAATCCTTCTTCATTAATCTCCTACTGCATTAGCACAGACAGGATAACCTGACCTTGAATAATCTCATCCTCATCCATCTGTGCACATGCAGCCATGGATTTATCTTGCATTGACAAATCAGGGTTTCACTCAAGCACAAGTGACACTTGTGTTTGACACAAGTGACACTCAACTGACAAATGACACTTCAGTGTCAGGGGCCCCAGGACACAGATTGATGCCTTGCAAACTGATCATCCTAAGATAGAAGTTTGATAAAAATGGGGCTTGTACAGGTAATTAGTGGATGAATATGGGTATCATGATCCCCACATTGATCTGAAACACCACATTGTGTAGCAATTTGTCACTCCTTGTCCAGACTAATCTGTAGCTTCTCAGAGCTGCTAAGCCTATGACAAGCCTCATCAATTGACAAGTGGTGATGAGATTTTCTAGGTGCCTTAGCTATAGCATTTCAAATACTTGGCAACTGAGATGCTGGAAAGGCAAACAGATGAAAACACACACTCTGTGTATAGCAGAGAAATTGCTAATCAAATAATTACTGGCAAGTCTACTGTTAAAATTTAAAGGCTGAACAAAAAAACCCTAATAACACCCACACTAAGGGCACGTATTCTTTGTTTAAAAAACCACAGATCATAATTTCTTCTCTCTTTTTTTTTTCTGCCTGATTGAAATGCATGTGAAATACCTCTTATGGCAGGTAACAGGTAAAAACCTTATGCACAAAGACTTTCATGTCTGTACTGCAGAAGATGCTGAGTGCTCAAAATGAGACTTCAGAAACCAATTCCATAAGAATGGTGATATTAGCACCAGTAATCCTTAGAAGAAAACTAAAATTATGAAAGTATACCTAAAAATGCAACAGCAGTCACAGGAGAACTGGATTCAAAACCCTCTTCTGCTTTCTGGATTGTCAGTCAGGTTCCACAAGGGTTTTTTTGTAAATAAAGTTATAAGTAGTCAAGCAGTAAAGAAAGACAGGTTTCTGAAATGCTTCAAGAACGCAAGAATGCCATTAAGATATTATTTCCTTCCTTTTTCAGTCCCTTTGTGGTAGGCACAGCAAGGCCTGCCAGAATTTAACTGCGTAAATTTGACCTAATCCTCTTCATTACTGTGAACATTGCAAAGGCACAGATCAAAGATTTGATTGCAGTACCCTTGCCTGCAACACCAAAAGAAGTGACAAGCACAGTGCAGATTTCAGTGACACACTAAACACCTCCAGAAGGCAGTTTAAAAGGAACAGGTAAGCCAAGCCTCTAGATTTCCAATCTGCACATAGATACTGACCTTGAGAGATTTACTGAAATTATTTATAGCACCGTTCCCCATAGATAGAGCTGTTTCTAAGATTTCAGTCTGTGAAGTAAAGTATGTGTTGCCAGCCTTTCTGCTTTACAGGAGCTGTATGCTTCTAGGATCCTACACACAGTCATTAAATAACAATTGTTCACAGAATCTCAGAATCACTTACTACAAGAGGAAAACTAAAAACTGTATCAGTGTGTAGTTAAAACTTCAATATTTTGGAACATAACTAAATGAAGTTAAAACGTATTAATAAAAGAATACTGCAAATGTGTTTCATTTGGCACTGTTGTTCATGAAAAAGAGTTAGCTGTGGGTTTTGGTGATTCTTCATCTAAGCATGTCCACCACACTGCAACCCTCACAACCACCCTATGGCACCAGAGCCAGAAAATGGAAGGAGTGAACCAGACCAAACTGGTTTTTCTACTTCTTTTGCAGAAACCTATCATGACATACAAATCAAACAGCTAATCTCATCCCCAAAACGTCAGCTTTATGACAGAGAATTTCATGCACACAAAGCAGCTGAATTCCTTGCTTTTGACACCCCTTGACACTATGGGCTGCTGCATGGAAACCTGCTTATTTTGAAGACTTCCTTTCTCCCAGTTGCAGCTGTCTCAAACTGCAGGAGGCTGGGGATACAGCTCCCTGTTCTGATAACACAGAGCCAAGGTGTTACTCATAGTAGTAGCAGGGCTAAGTTGCTTCTCGTTTTACCTCTGATGGACAGTAGGCTCTCTAAATGATTAAAGCACATCAAATGCAGAATTGCCTCCACTTGCTCTCTCACAAACACAGTATTTTTATGTCCAGAGCCCACCAAGTTGATTATGTCACTGCAACACATCCACAGAGGTAGCATTGTTCTACTGCAACACTCAAAAACTCAAAAAGAGAGATGTACAAAAAATGCCCAACTACCTGCACACAATATTCTTCTAAAAGAAACAAAATATTTAAATAAGAGTGCAGTGTCATGACTGCAGGTTAATTGTTATAGGTAATTGTTACCTGAAGACTCTTCAGACACTGTCTCTCCCATTGCCTGCATTACGAGGTGACTGCCACAACAACATAATCCCATTCTGGGAACTGATCTCACAGACCTGTTCAATGACCCCCCCTCAGCCCCTCTCCTGGGCAGATAAAAACTTTTCACTTGCTTTTTGGGACATTTTGGTTTGTAATTATTTGTATTCACATGTACTGGAGACTATGAATTAATGTATTTAATTCATGTACTTCCCCCCTTTTCCCAGTTCATAAAGTCTGTTGGTACAAATATTTACTATTTATTTTTTGAGTACACATTACTCTTGGCACAGAGTATGGAAGACAGCTAACAGTGAATAGCTGTCATCAGTGTCATCAGCTGTACGCTAATGGCAGAGAGAGTAAAACTGCTTGTTATTTACATATTTTCAACAGATTCAGGTGTCCTACATTTCTGATCATTTAAAAAAAAAAGTGCAGGAAGACAATTCACACATAGCTCAAGAGTTCACACTCTTAATCTGGAAGCTAAAAAAAGACATCTTTGCAGTCTGGGTTAATAAGGGCACATGCAGCAGGCAAGTGCAGCTGTAGTTCAAAGGAAACTAAAGGTCAAGGATTGCTGTTTTCATTCAAGTTAATACCACTCCAGTCAACAGAAATTTTACTTAAGTGAGAACTGGATGCTTGAAAGAGCATTTCATTCCACCATAATGAAAAAAAAATTATTAACACCTGTAAATACATGTTAATATTTTGGGGGAAAATACATCCTCTTGGGCTTAATAAATTCTTCCTCCTAAAGGTCAGCCTTACTCAACAGTCATTCCCTGTCAGTGGTTTAGTAATGCTGACATACGCCTGGTTAAAGTCTACCCAAATTATTTAGGCACAGAGGAAGGTAAACCATGGCAAGCTATCAGGATACAGTCAGTTCAGAGCAGCACAGCACAGCTGACCTCCAGCGTCCTGCACTCCAGGAACACCTTGTCCCTTCCTCTGTAACCTGAACTGGGAACAAATCATGCCTTTCTGGGAACAATGGCACCAAGTGAGCAAAACAGCTTCATGCTTGGTCGAAAGCTTGACTCTTTGCTTTAAATGTATATAACCAGGCCTGTTGTACCCCGAGGCTTCACAGTTGGTTGCAGAATCCCTCCTTTGCTGCTGAGCCTAAGCTTCCTCTGCTTTAACACCTGCTGTGTGAGGAAGTCTTTAATACAGAAGTATTTTTCTTCAAGGCAGTGCAAACCCCTTGCATGGGCAGCTCTGGGTGGCTTCCAAATGCCACCCAGATGGTTCAGCTCAAGCCCTACAAATGGGTGCATCACTTTCATGCACATTAACACTAATTTATTTAATGGTGCAAAACTTTAGGCAGACTGGCTTGGTCCCATCCTTCACGCAGTGGATGGCAATGCTAGTTCCTGCATCTCCTGCTGCCTATCTAGGAACTGAGGAGAAAACGAATTTTTAACAGGACTGGGGCTTTTCACAGGTCATACTTTCATTTGTCTTATGTGGATGAGTTAAGGATTTACACAAAATCAAAATAAATCACCTATAAAAGAATCACAGAATCACAGAATGAACTAGGTTGGAAAAGACCTTTTGAGATCATCAAGTCCAACCTATGACCTAATACCTCCTCATCAACTAAACCATGGCACCAAGTGCCACATCCAGTCTTTTTCAAAAAATGTCCAGGGATAGTGATTCCATCATCTCCCTGGGAAGATGATTCCATTGCCCAATCACTCTTTCAGTGAAGATTTTTTTTCTAACCTAAATTTCCCGTGGCATAGGGGAAGTTTAACTCGTCTTAAGACTGTGTCCTCTTGTTCTGTCAGTTGCTGCCTACAAGAAGAGACCAACCCCCACCTGACTGCAACTTTCAGGAAGTTGCAGAGAGTGATAAGGTCACCTCTGAGTCTCCTTTTTTCCAGACTAAACAACCCCAGCTCCCTCAGCTGTTCCTCACAGGGCC